AGTCAAATAAAAAAAAAAAAAAAAAAAAAACAAAAAAACCTGGAGCGGCTCGGATCGCGGCTCGGCTTGGTGCGGCTCGGTTCGGTGCGGCTGAAACTCGCGGGTCAAAAAGCGGGTCGACGCTTCGGGTCGGGTCGGTTCGGCAAAACGCGCGGATCCTCTTATTAACTTAAAGCCAAAACGACGTCGTTTTGGGAGGGTATAAAGGCACCTTCCTTCGTTTTTCAGCAGACCGTTCCTCCCCTCTCTCTCTCTTCTTCCCTTCTTCTCTGCCTTCTCTCTAGAATTTGAAGAACGCCGGTGCCGGATTCTGGAAAATTCGCCGGAATCTGGGAATTTCACCGGAAATTGGCCGGAAGTTGGTCGGATGGTCGCCAGTTTCTGGGATTCTCCGCCGGAAACTGGGTCTGTCGCCGAAAACTTCAAAGTTAGCCGGAATTGTCGCCGAAAAATTCAAAAGTCGCCGGAATTTTCGCCGGAATCTGGAAATTTCCTAGAAATTTCCAGAAAATTTTTTCGCCAAATTTTTCTAAAAAATTTTCTCACTGCCAGAACACTCCTAAACTTTTCCTTAGCTCTCTAAACACCCCTATTCTCTCAATCAGTAGCTTTTGCTTCTGTTTTCTCTGTGTTCTTGACTGTTCCAGGGGGTCCCTTTTATAGGGATTGATCAGGAGTTTCTGATCAATCCCAATTCCTCTTTGGACGGGAATTCAGTCTTTGAATCCAATTGGACTCTTCTGATTGAATTCCCCTTCAGAGTGGGAGTCTTCAACTTTGAATCCTAGCCCTCCAAAATAAAAATTAAAATAAAATTAAAAAAAAAAATCTAGATAATTGGAAAGATAAATCAAAAGATAAAAAATTTTCAAATAATATCTGAAAATCAGAAAAAATCAGAACAGATAATTAAAAAAAAAAAGATAAGAATAATAATATAATAATAATAAATATATAACTATATACATATAAATCTATTCTAATGAAAAAAAAATATATATATATACATATATTAATATATAATAATAAATAATAAAATACACAAGAGAGAAAGAAAAAAAATAAAAAAAAATAAAAATAAAAATAAAAAATACGGGTAAAATTCAATTGGGCCTTGCCCATTTGGGCCAGGCCCAAATGATCTGGGTCAGGCCCAATTGATCCGGGTCAGGCCCAATTGATCCGGGCCCGGACCCAATTGGGTGTCTACACTTAGTATCATGTAAGTCTCACATAAAAAAACCTAAAAAAAGAAAAAGAAAATTAGCAATAAGTAGGTCTCACATACAAAAATAAAATTTTAAAAAATTAAATATTTTTTATAATTTAAAAAATATTTATTAAATGTTAAAAAGAAAAAGTTAAAAAAGAAAAAAACCAAAAAATAAAAAACATTGAAAAACACAAAGAAAAATATCAACCTGTAGCAACAATACCGATTCATGCATCCGCACGATTTATATACATAGCATGAGACTACATTCCAACCACATTGGTAAATCATGGTTACTTCATAGTTGCTTTTGGCTCCCTTTGGATACAAACGTAATTACGGTATCGTAAATGCACTGGAGTTGAAAAATAGACTCGAGCCTTCATGTGTTCAGTGAAAATTTTGCATCTCCACCGGGGCTCGCTTCTCGTCTTCTCCCATAATTACCCCTAAATTTCTTTTTCTTTTTCTTTTTGCTTTTTTTACCAATTGAATTTCACTACAAAGACGAAAATATTCCTGTCACTTACCTTTTTTATTTTTTTATTTAAACGTTCAAAATAACCCTAATATAAATAAATAAAATTTCATAATTATATAATAAACTAATTAATAACTAAATAATTAAATTATTATTTGTTTATATATTTATTCAAGTTTTAATTGTTTATTATTTTGGCCAAAAAAGTTTTTACTAATTTATTAATTTAAAACAATGATTTGATATATTACAATCATTTTTATTAATTTTAATTATTTATAAACAAAAATATTATATGATATAAAAATACTTCAATAATTCATTAATTCCATAAATATCAAATATACTAAAATTTTTATTATATACAAACTTTAATCTTATTATTTGATATAAAATAATTTTGATAATTTTTCAATATTTATTAATTTTATAAATATCAAATTTATACTATAACTTCTATTATATATAAATTTTAATATAATATCTTTAATAATAATTTTCTTTTTGCACTATACTTCATCCTATTATCATTATTAGGTTTACATTGAAACACATATTTCTAATACTAATTTTCTACAATAACCAGTCTCACTGGTTGAGTTCTTTCAAAGTTGCTTTTGTCCCCAAGTTAAATCTCCTACTGCTATAAATAATGCCTAGTACTTACGCATTTTGGCCAAAAAGAAAAAAACAAAGAAAACCATTTTAGCTTATAATTTCTCCTTTTCTTTTGTTGCTCCTAGAATAATGTGGCTGACACCATACACATTGTATTCATGGCTGTTGGATGGCAGCACCCAGAAAGATGGACCGTTTCGAGCAGTTTTCTCATTTCTGATTGCAATGTTAGCGATCTCATTGTGGCACCTCTGGACTAATAGGAAGTCAAACAAGCCAATTGCTCCGTTGCCGCCTGGCCCCCGTGGCTTGCCGATAGTGGGATATCTTCCATTTCTTGGAACTGACAATCTTCACCTGGTCTTTACAGAATTGGCTGGAGTCTACGGTCCAATCTTCAAACTTTGGCTGGGAAACAAACTATGCGTGGTAATTACCTCACCATCGCTAGCAAAAGAAGTGGTTCGCGACCATGATATAACATTTTCTGAGCGGGATCCTCCCATTGCTGCACAGGTTTCTACCTTTGGCTGCAATGATATTGCATTTGACTCCTACAGCAGTCCCACCTGGAAAAAGAAGCGAAAAATTCTTGTAAGCGGGATGCTTAGCAGCGGTAGCCTTAATGCCTTTTATGGTCTAAGGAAAGAACAAGTAATGAATACCATTGGGGAAGTCTATAAAAACGTTGGCGAGCCAATTGATGTTGGTGAATTGTCATACTTAACGGCAATCAATGCGGTCACCAGCATGGTGTGGGGAGGAAAACTTGGAGGAGAGAAACGGGCTACGATTAAGGGGCACTTCAAAGAGATTTCTTCAGAATTAGCGATCTTATTGGGAAAACCAAACGTTTCTGATATTTTCCCCGCGATTGCACGGTTTGACATACAAGGTATTGAGAGAGGAGTAAAGAAAGTCATTCATTTGTTCAATCAACTTTTTGATTCTGTAATTGAACTAAGAACGAACGTGGCCACCGAGAAGGATAAAGTCGATGGAAAGAGTGAACAAAAATCAGACTTCTTGCAGATGCTCTTGGAACTCAACAAGAATGAACATAGCGCATCATCTATTACAATGAATCAAGTCAAGGGTATGCTCATGGTAAGATTTTTTTTTAAAAAATTTTTTTAGCATACCTCAATTTTCCTACTTTATGTTTTGGGTTCTGATTTGGGTAATTGGTGCTAATAATTTTTAACTAGGACATTGTGGTTGGTGGAACGGATACTACATCAACTATGGTAGAGTGGACAATGGCAGAGCTAATACAACATACAGAAATAATGGAAAAAGTGAAGAAAGAATTAACTGATGTTGTTGGACTAGACAGAACAGTTGAGGAGTTTCACTTGCCTAATTTAAGATACCTAAATGCGGTGATAAAGGAAACCTTCCGATTGCACCCAGCCCTTCCCCTCCTTGTTCCCCGTTGTTCTGGAAAATCAATCACTGTTGGTGGCTATACCATTCCAAAGGGCAGCAGGGTCTTCTTAAATATTTGGTCCATTCACAGGGACCCCCATATTTGGGACAATCCTTTACAATTTCAGCCTGACAGGTTCCTGAACGATCCTGACAAGTTTGATTATTATGGAAGTGATTTCCGGTACATGCCATTTGGCTCTGGAAGGAGAAAGTGTCCAGGACTTACCCTGGGGGAGAAGATGCTATATTTCATATTGGCCTCATTGCTGCATTCTTTTGACTGGAAATTGCCCCAGGGCACAGAGCATGACCTGTCCAGCAAATTTGGACTCGTTGTGAAGAAAAAGAAGCCTTTACTTCTGATTCCGACGCCAAGGTTACCTAATCTTGAGCTCTACAGAAAGAAACAGCTATAATGTACTGGTACTATACTACTATTGTATCTCTTTTATATTAAGGCAAAAGTGCCATGCAACCAATTAAAGTCGTTAAATAAAATGAAATATATTGATACATGTCATTGAGTCAGTCGACTGGCGTGTTGCTGTAGGCTGGTTACTAGATCGGGAACGAGGGTCTCAAGCAACCCTAGGCAGCATGATTCTGTGGCCTAGGGCTCTGGGGATTAGATATATAGCATAACCATATAAAAACCAGGCGGGATGTGGTTTTATGTGGTCAATAGTTATAATTTCTAATAGAATATATGTGGCTCGTGTTATTTGCTTCTTGTTTGCATCCACGATAACATTGATAAATCGAAATACCCATTTCAATAGCAATGCCCGAATTATAGTTGTTGTCAAAGCGTATATGTATGCCATCATCTCCTTTTTACACACAATCTCTTTCACTCGCCCACTCATGTCTCACCCCTCTAATAACTCCAAATAATGCTCTCAAAGTCCCATTCTACTTTGGCTTGTTTTCAGCTTTCAAATATATGTAGTCTCTACGTATATTAGTGGTCTGCTACAAAATTATAGTAATATTCCATTTCAATGGCAATGCCAAAATTAGGGACGGATCCAGAAATTTTTTCTGGTGGCAGTAAATTTATTATATAATATATTTAGTTAAAATTTTTTATTTAATGCAAAGATAATGGTTTTTACTGCAAAAAAGGCTTTTAATAAAAGAATTTAAAATATTTCTTACGATATCAAATATATAAAAAATTTAAATAAAAATTAACATAAATATAATAAAAACTTATAATATTAGATACACTGAAATTTTAAATATCAAATAAATACAAACACATAATGTTGTCATTTTTCAAATGAAAATAGTATTATATAATTGAGTTAAATAGTTTTCATAGGTAGAAAATATAAGATTTTCTTCTTCATTGTCAATATTAAAATATATATAACTTTATTCAATTTTGGATATTTCCTCCAAAATTAACTCTCTTTGTCCTTAACTAATTTAAATCAAATACTAATTTAATTTCTTTATAATTTATAAGACATAAGGTAAGATACAAAACTACAAAATAGGACCAACAACATGCTACTTTTATATTTTTTTTAATAATTTTAAAATTGATGCTATTTTTTTTTCTAAATTTTAGATTGTGTTAGATTATATCTCTACAACATTATTTTACATCAAATATATGTCGTAACGGTTTTGTATCCGTCTGACGAATTTGAAAATGAAATAAAAAATAACGAAGTCGCCACCAATCTTTTTTGGCTAGGTGCGATTGATCACCTACTAAAACATATCCTTTTAATAAAGTTTTAAAATTAATTAAAATTTATTGAAAAGATAATTTTACGGTCTGTGAAACAGTTTGGGTTATAAAGTCGGTTACGCGTGGGGATGGATTAGCACCCCACAACGCTTGTTAAAAACGGTACCAGTTAACAACGTGTTATCCTTTGATTTTGATAAAAATAGTCCAATTTTTTGTGTTCAAAAAATAATTTCCTTGATTTTTATTTATTAGAAAAAAAATTTTATTCTCTAGAAAAATAAATTAAAACTTTTTTATTGAAATAATTCTTAAAATGTTTCAGTACGTTGGTAACATTAAAAAAAAAATTTTCATCTAGAGATTTCTTAGGCATCGCTTCTCGAAATATTTTAGAATCTCATCCTCGGATGCTCAAATTTACTTTTCGTAAAAAAATATCATGCATGCAATGCAAAATGTTACCATGTCGATGCACACATTTTATTCTCCTTTGTTAGAAATTTTATTAATTATTTTATTAATGTTTTATTTTTAATTGAAATTTTGAAGAAAAAAAGAATTTAATTATATTGAAGATTTTCTATAAACATTACAATACACTGGTAATATTTTACAAAAAATCTTCTCACCTAGGGATTTCTTAAAGCATCTCTACTTCAAAAACTTTTAGAATCCCATCATCGTATAAAATTTCTTTTCTTCTCATTTTTATTACTTATATTTTTAATTTAATACTCAATTTTTATTTATTACTTAAAAAAAAGAAAATTTTTATTGTATTGAAAATTTTTTTATAAATACTCCAATACACTGGTAGTATTTTAAAAAAATCATTCACCTAGAGATTTCAAAGGCATCACTACTCGAAATACCTTTGAATCTTATCGTCGGATAAAAATTTTCTTTTCCTACATTTTTTATTAGTTTAGTATTATTATTAAATTTATTTTTATATTATTTTGTTTTTAAAGTTTATTTTAAAAATTAACAAAATTATAAAAAAAATTTAACCACATATTTTATCATTTAATCTAACAAATATAAATATTTTAATATGCATTAATATTAATAAAATAATATATAAAAAATAAGAAAAATTTAAAAAATAATTTTTTTACCTGAACGGGACTGGGCAACAGTCCAATCAACTTGCGATTTGGTTCGACGGTTCGGTCTAGCGTCAGCGGTTCGGTCACGTTCAGTGGTTCAGTGGTTCAGTTTCGATCCGGGTCGGGTTCAGTGGTTCGGTTCCAGTTCAGTCGGATCGGTCAGAGGCTGATAAAGGAAGTGGGTTGCGAGTTAACGTGCAGATCCTTGGTGCTTCAAACGACATCGTTTTGGGCCTTTATTGAAACAACCTCGTTTTGGTTTTGACAATTTATATAAAAGGTGCTAAATTTGTTTTTAGTCATTCTCCCATTTTCTTCAGAAAAAAATGCCTTTTTTTTCTCTCTTTTTTTTCAGGCTGACCTGGGGCCGATGGCCATTCATCGCGATGACTGCCACAATCCTCGTCGGCTGCGAGCTTCGACCGCCGTCGTCGGTGTCGAAAAATTCTAAAATTTCTCAAAATGATCCCCTCAACACCCTAAATACAAATCCAACCTCTTTTTCACCAAAAAGTGTCCCAAATTCCCCTGATCTGCTGGTGAAGTTTTGGCCAAACCCTCTTTTTTTTTTTAAACTGACTCTTTTTGTTTTCTTTGTGCAGAAACTCTCGACGATGGGTTTCCCATTCCATGGGACTGAGTTTTTTTTTGTATTTTTTTAGTATATTTTTTTTGGTAAAAAGGTCTTTTTTTTACAGGTTTTTTTTCTTCTTCGTTCCTTTTCTCTCTTTTTTATTCGACCAGGAGCTCTATTTATAGAGCTCCAATAGTGAATGACATAAGGCTTGGCATGGGGTGAAGTATGAGCCCCATGTTGCCTTTATTTATTTTCGTCTTATTTGACAGTGAGGGTAGTAACTGTCAGCGGGATGGGTGATCAGAGGGGTAGAGGGTAAGGTATGGTGATCAGAGTGGTGGGGGGTAGGGCATGGTGGTAGTGGTGCCTTCCTTGGCACCACTTCCCACTGCCATCCCCAATTTATTTTGTTTTGTTTGTTTGTTTTTTTTTTCTTTTGTTTTGGTGTTTTGTATTTTGTATTTTGTATTTTTTTTGTATTTTGTATTTAATAATATTATTATTATTCTTTTTTTGTCAAACAAATTTTATGTCCACAACTGCCCCTCTTTGCATATTACTGATAATCGGTAATAAGGTAAAAACAAAGACAACAATTTTATCCGAAATCCAAATGGATTTTTTTTTTTTTTTTTTTTTGAACATAGACTACTCAAAAAGTTATTTTTTTTCAAATCGAAAATGTTTTTCTCACTTGAGGCTCAACAACTTTTGAAAATTTAAAATCTGAAAAATGCTCATCTCAATAGATGCTCAATAACTTTAAAAATTTCATCTTGAAAAGGGCTCATTTCAGCAGAGGTTTAAAAACTTTAAAATTCTCATCTTGAAAAGGGTCCTTCTCCGCAGAGGCTCAATAACTTTAAAATCTCATTTAAAAAAGCTCATTTCAGCAGAAGCTCAACTACTTTAAAAATTTTATCTTAAAAAGAGCTCCTCTCAACAGAGGCTCGACAATTTTAAAATCTCATTTGAAAAAGATTCTTTCAGCAGAGGCTCAACAACTTTAAAATCTCATTTGGAAAAATTCCTCTTAGCAGAAGCTCAACAACTTTAAAAATCTTATCTTGAAAAAGCTCCTTTTAGCAGAGGCTCAACAACTTTAAAATCTCATCTGAAAAAGCTCCTCTTAGCAGAGGCTCAACAACTTTAAATTTCATCTTAAAAAAGCTCCTCTCAGCAAAGGCTCAATAACTTTAAAAATCTCATCTTGAAAAGGGCTTATCTTAGCAGAGGCTTAACAACTTTAAAATTTCATTTGAAAAAGTTCCTCTCAGTAGAGGCTCAACAACTTTAAAAATCTTATCTTAAAAAAGCTCATCTCAACAGAAGCTCAACAACTTTAAAATCTCATCTTGGAAAAGTTCATCTCAGCAGAGGCTCAACAACTTTAAAATCTTGATCTAGAAAAGCACATCTCAACAGAGGCTCAATAACTTTAAAATTTCATCTTGAAAAAGCTCCTTTCAATAGAGGCTCAATAATTTTAAAATTTTGATCTGAAAAAGCTCTTCTCAGCAGAGGCTCAACAACTTTAAAATCTTATCTTCTTCAAATCGAGTTCTCATTTTTTAACAAGAAAATTTCTCTCTTTTCAAATCTTTTGTTTGATTAAGAAATAGAAAGTCTATGTCCTCATTATTCATGGATGCATGTACTGAGTGCTCTAAATGCAATGCATGTAATGCAATCAGAATTATTCATTGTGGTAAAAAGGTTCTCAAAATCTTTCACTTTTTGCTTTTTTTATCAGAATTCTTAATAATTGCCATATGATCAATCTGTTCTCAACATCTGACCATTGAATTCTTCCCTACCAATACTTTTCTTCAAAAGTCTGCAACATTGATGTCTTATCATGCTTTTCTCTTCTTTTTTTTCATTTACCTTTGTAAACTTTTTTAAAAAATAATGCTAAGATCTTTCATGTTTGTTTTTCTTTTTATTATTTTAAATCTAAGTCCAATAAAATGCGATCACACATTTTTCCTATTCGTATAGCGATCAAAAAATAAGAATAAAAGAACGGATAGGTGTTATTTTCAAAAGAAAGATAGCATATTTTATTAGACTGGTAACAAGTGCATGGTAAAGTATTTGAGTTGAAACAAAGGTGCCCAAATAATGATCATAAGATAATCATGAACAAAATGTTCCCAGATTCTTTTTTTAAAACTAAATTAGATGACTTTCTTGATCCTTCAAAGTTCATCAAACTACACTTGCCCTTGTATTGTGGAATGATGCTTCTTCTT